GGCTGAATGGAGCCAGTGTTATTTAGGAGCAAACTGATTGGCTGTCTCCTTTCTGCAGGGCTGACTGAAAACTGTCAACCCTGAGGGCCCTTTGAAGCAAGGTGTAGAGAGTTCAGGATGGAGCTTTACGTTTTGTGGCTTGTACGGGAGACTCAGGAGGAAAGTCTTCTGTTTGGTCACCAGGTAACCGCAATGCCCAGTTCATTCGCTCATCCTCCCCTATCTGCTGGCTCTTTGGGTTCAGGGAGAAATGTTCAACTCTGCTTCCCTCTCTAGACATCACCTTCTCTTTTATTTTCTTCCAGCCAAACAACTTGAAAGGCAAGTCTTTGATTTTGATACACTTCTTCTAAATCGATCTTTTGCCCCACCCCCGACCTGCACCCCATTTCTCTGTTTTGGCTCATATGGGACTTGGTGGGGAGGCAGCCGGGACAGTGGTACTGGGCTTGGGGAGAGGGATGCTGGTGAGATTTCAGCTGTCATCCTCATCCCTGAGCTACTTGGTGCCTTTGAATATGCCCACAAACCTCAGTGGAGCACTGCTAATTTAGCTCCAGTTTGCCAAATGGACCTCTAGTGCCACTGCGGCAGTCCCTCACAATGATGGCTCTGTTGCCCTCCTCCGGCATCCCAGAGGCACCCAGGACCCAACCCTGTCCTGGTCTCCCCTTTCTTCTCTAGTTGCTGCTCCTCCACAGACTCTCCTAAAATAGTGGGTGTTCCCTTAGGGATCATCTCTTGTCTCTGTACACTTTAACTTCACTTGTATTCCCCAGGCTTCGGGCACCTCTTGCTTCCTCCCATCTCCCAGATTGAGTGGCTCAGCGTATGGGCAGGGTGCCCCTACCTATATCTGCATGTAGCCTGGGCAAGTTCCTTCACCTCTCTGCAGTGCAGTCTCATCTGCAATGTGGAGATGAGCAGCGCCTGCCCCAAGGGCTGTTGGAAGGACGAAGTGTTTAGTGCAGCGGCTGGCCCTTCCTAAGCCAGGAGTCATGATTACCGCTCATCCTGGCTCTCTTCTCATCCCCAGACACATCCATCTAAAGTCCCCTGGATGTCTCCATTTGGGTGTCCTTCAGGCAAACTGATGCCTGTCTTGGAGTTAATGTGCCCCACACCAAATTAACCATCTCTTTTCTCTCCATTTGTTTCTCGTGTTTCTCCTTCATCGTGTCTTTGGGGAATGGCCCCACCAGCCACCCAGACTCTCAGAGTCACCCTGAAGTCCTCTCTGCACAACTCTGATCTTTCTCTAAGTCGTATCAATTCTCTCTCCTAAATACCGCCTGTGCTACCTATGCTCTCCATCCTGGTGGACGCAGGGTTGGCTCTGATGGCCCAGTTACCCAATAGCCTCCCTAAGCTCATCACCAGGGCTACAAACTTGCCAAGATCCTACTAAAACACTTGAAACAGCAAGGGGTGGTGTGGGGGTAGGGGGTGGGCTAGCTCCAAAATACAAGAAGAAATTTAAATTAACAAATATTTCTTTCAATGGCCACAAAATGTAAATGATGTCAGCTGCTTTGTTCGTAAAAATGTTAGTACTTTGACAGCCATTTGTTAGGTTTTTCTCCTATACAAGAGTTTCTGGCCTTGAGAGAAATCAGAAGTATATTAAATTAGCAGGGGGTTGGGGGTTGTAGCCAGATCACTTTAAAAAGCAAAGTTATCAGCGATCTCTCAGAAACAGCAATACAGAATAATTATGTTTGATGTGGGACAGGCTTGCATTTAATGCCTGTTCTAAGGTGGGGCCCAGAGAGGTCTACAAGCCACCTGTGCTTACTTCTTTCCTGAGGCAATAAGCAACTAAGAGTCCTCCAAAATAAGAATGCATTCAGGCCCATTCCTGCCGACTTCTTGCCTGGGTTCCTCAGGCCTTCTTAGAGCAGTCCCCTGAAGCCCTAGGCTAGGTAGGGCCCTCTGCTGCCACTCACCTAAGGCCTCAGCCTCCTTTTGTCAAGCCACATTCGTCTTTGAATTGTAATTACTGCCTCTGTCTGTTGCCCTGGGAGATCCCTGAGGGTAGGGACCACATCCTAGAGATCTTTGTTTAACTTTACAGACATTCCAGAGTGTTGATGATTAAAAGAATGAATGACAGGCTGGGAGGGAGGGGCGATAATGATATACTGCGATCGGGAAGAGGAGGCGAGGGTGGGGGCAGAGATGAGGTCAGCGTAGGCAGACTTGGATTGAGTGCTTCTCGGCAAGAAGGGGATCCACCAGTCTGGAACTCGGCCTAGGGGCTGCGATAGAGAAAGTGGGGTAGTGGCCGCTAACATAAGCGGGGGTGGTTGAAGTCCCGGCTATGGCTGTAAGAGGCCAGGCAGGAAGTGTGGGCAGGGAGGGAAGCCAGAGTTCTGGGAAACCTCGTTGCCACTTATGGGAGGGGCAGAAACGTGGGAGGGAGTGGCGGCTGCAAGCACAAGCAGCACTCGTAGGAAGAGGAAGGCGGGCCTGGGGCGGTGGCTCACGCCTGCAATCCAGGCACTTTGGGAGGCCAAGGCGGGTGGATCACGAGGTCAGGAGATCGAGACCATCCTGGCTAACAGGATGAATCCCCGTCTCTACTTAGCCGGGCATGGTGGTACGCTCCTGTAATCCCAGCTACTCGGGAGGCTGAGGCAGGAAAATCGCTTGAACCCGGGAGGCGGATGTTGCAGTGAGCCGAGATTGTGCCACTGCACTCCTGCCTCGTGACCTAGCAAGACTCTGATCTCAAGAAAAAAAAAAAAAAAAAAAAGAGGAAGACGGCTGCTACAGGAGGGCTGAAATCCTGAAGTGACTACCCAATCAATCACTTGTGCGGTTGACGGTGGGCCAGGCCCTACGCCCAGTGCTGCGCATGGAGTGAGCCACAGAAGGATGTTAAGATAAACCGCATTTTATGGAAAAGTGAATCAAGGCCCAAACTGGCTGAGTAACTCATCCACAGTCACACAGGGAGGAAGTGAAGGAGCAGAGACTCAGCTCCATGCTCATTAAGGGTAGATAACCTGCCTGAAAGGATGGGGCTGGGACCCTGTCTGGGGAGATGGACATTAGAAAGCTTTGATGAAGTCTCAGAGATGAGGGCGGAAGCCAAGCCGCAGGGCAGTCGGTGAGTCAGCGAGAGGGAGGAGTTGAACTGGGAGGAGCTGTTTACATGGAGGAAAAAGGGGTGTTGGTCATTTCACAAGTATAGTTGGCCAACCCCCCCCCCACTCTGCATCCAGAAGCAATAGTCAGGTAATACTTTTATAAATTTGATGTTTAAAAAAATTACATTTGAACACAGCAATAAAAACCTAAGCCCTTCTCCATTAGTGATCTAACTTCTCTGCCTTCATGTCACAACAAACACTGGAGGGCTTTCCCTGCAGTGTCAACCTTATGGCTCTTGTTGTATCTTCTCTGTCCAGAGGAATCTTTTCCAGAGCCCTGCTACCTGCAGAGCTGCCTGGAAAAGTGAGGAGGGAGAGAAGGAGCAGTGTTCTGGCCCTCTCTGTGGGGCCCTTACTCTAGATGTTTCCTCTGCCCAGAAACTCTCTTCCCCCAGGCATCTGCTGGGCTGGCTTCTCACCTCCCCAGAGTCTTCCACCTCAGTGAGACGGACCTCTACCATCTTTATTAATACTGCAGCCAACCTCTGCCCCCTGATGCCCAAACTCCTGGACTCCCTTTCCCTGCTCTGTTTTGTTCTTTCTTCCATAGCAACCTCAGCTACTAAGTCACCCTGCTTATGCACTGCATTTAAGCATTTAGTATCAGAGTTCCTCCTTCTGCAATAGCGCAAGCTCCTCCAAGGCAGGCAGCTTTGTCTGTTTTGTCCTCTGTCCTATCCCAGGTGCCCAGAGCTGTTCTGGGCACTTAGTAGGCTCTCAATTTATATTTCTGGAATAAAAAAAGGAGTGATTTCAGCGGGCTGACTCCATGACGAAGGAAGATGGGTGGCTTTTCCATGGGAGAGGGAAACGGGGAAGGCATTTCAGGTTAGGGAAGCAACATAAGCGGGTGCTTGAAGACAGGAACGAGTAAGTCACTCTGTGGGCAGTGAACAGAAGACCCATTTGGTGGTGCTCAAGATGTGGGCGTCGAATGCCAGGATGGAGAGTGTGAATTTTCATTTGTAGGTAATGGGAGGGAAGAGGAAGGCTGTTGAAAGATTTTGAGCAGGGGAGAGACTCCATGTGAGTAATATTTGGGGAAGATGAAGTTGGAGGTGGGAGTCCATTGGGTGGAAGTAGTCCTTCTGGGATGTTTTCCTTAATCCCTATCCCCACGTCCCCTTCCTCGCGAGAACTCCAGCTCACTGGCATGTTTCCTGTGACCCCCTTCTCTGTGCTCTGCCTGCTCCAAGTTACACCAGAACCAGAGTCTGCAGGTGTGCTGTGCACCTTAGATTTGGAGGGAATTTGTACATTTTTTTTCCTCTGGGTAAAGTCAGGGGGGTATCATCCATAGCCTCTGGTTAGAAATGGCATTCAGCACTTGGAATGCTTCCTCTTGCTTCTCTATCTTCAAATTTGTGCAGTGGCAACACTGAAATTCCAAAGGAGTAAAAAGCACGAAGACCTTTGCCTGGTACATCAAGAATGTGGACAAATTTAGAACTGGAGCCTTGTGTTACAATTGCAAGTCAAACTCCAAGAGGGGGTAACCAGCCCATTAGCGCAGGAACCTGGAAACTGACTTTTCTGCTATCTCTCCAAACACACACACACATACATGCGTGCACAGTCTCACATACACACATTCATTGGGCCCTTGAAAGATCAAGGCCAACTGCAAAGCACCCATTCCCCAAGACTCCTAATTTATATTGGGAACTAGCTATAAAGCTCCCCTTGGCCCCCAATCTTCCCTTGCAATGATAAAGAGCATGTCACATCACACTAAATGTGACACTTAATCAAAACCCATCTTCTTTAACAAACCCTTAACCTCCAGCACACGAGAGTCACCAAGGCCAAGGGACGAGACGGGGAGCCGACTCAGGTGGCACATGCTTTGATTAAGATGATACAGATTTCCTTTTATTTCACTTTTATCAGAGTTGTAAAATTCCGAATCTGTCCCCTTTTTGATTTGACAACAGCACATTTCAATAGAGGTTGACACCAAAAAAAGACCACGACTTGTTCTCTCTTCAACCGGGAGTAGGTGATAATTTCTCTGAATCCTCTTCAGTAATGATCGTCAGAGCTTCTGATCTTCTGATAAGCAAGTTTTGCAAGGAACATGGTTAAACTGAAGCACAAACCTGGCTGGCATCTGGTCCCTTTCTTAACTGGTATCTAAATACCCTTAATCTATAGGCCCTGAAAAAGACCTCCCCTTCTCTGCCTCCTACCTTGGGTCTTTATTTCTGAGACTTAAATCCTCAAGTGAATTCTTTTGCCAGATTTCTGGGGCAGGAAATTTACTTCCCTGCCACACAGTTACTTTAGCCCTTCTGAGGGCTCCAGCAGTTGTCCATTTCTATCACATGGGCCATTGCTTTCCTCATGACCTATTTAGGACTTTGTATCTAAATTATCTAATCATTGGCTAAATTGGGTAATTCACCATAGAGGTATTGAATCCTATTTATGAATGAGATACATGTTATAGGAGGGAAGACTTATTTCTGCTTTCAAAAACTTGTGGTCTTGAAATAAAATACAGTAAAGGTAATAGAATGGCAAGTGGCGACAAGAACTCCAAGGCATAGGCAGTTGATGCTTTCAGTAAGCATTAATCATCTACTGTGAGCCAGTCACTGTTCTAGACACTGGGAAACAGCAATGTACAGAATGGACAACATTCCTGCCTGCAAGGTGCTTACATTCTGTGTGGGACTGGACATTTTCAGCATTGATATATTTGGCTTGTGAACAACCCACACTTTCAAACGTTGTACATTAACCCTCTTCAATCACCTTCTGTAGGTTGAATTTAGACTTTCGAGTACCCACAAACACGCAGAACTTCTCAGTTGTCTCGTGACGTCACTCCAGTAGGACTATACTCGGTTGGTGCAGTGTCAGCCCCTGTCTGTTCCGTGGTGTCAGTGGTCTTATTGCTCACCAAAAAGTGAGCAGAAATTTAAAAACTGAAAATGTGGATGCTATTGGCAAGACTTGTAGTTCTTTTCTTTTTTTTTTTTTTGAGACAGAGTCTCACTCCGTCACCAAGGGCCAGGCTGGAGTGCAGTGGCACAACCTCGGCTCATTGCAACTTCTGCCTCATGGGTTCAAGCAATTCTCCTGCCTCAGCCTCCCAAACAGCTGGGACTATAGGCGCGCACCACCACGCCCAGCTAATTTTCTTGTATTTTTAGTAGAGATGGGGTTTCACCATGTTGGCCAGGATGATCTCGATCTCTTGACTTCGTGGTCCGTCCGCCTCAGCCTCCCAAAATGCTGGGATTATAGACTTGTAGTTCTTGTTAACTTCTTACATATGAGATAAAACTAGAAACCATTAGGAAGAAAAAAAAGCAAAATTAGAGAGCCCATTTAAAATACTGTAGGGATACAAAATATTGAGCAAAACAGATAAGATATAATAAAGATTTTTGTGAATGATTTTTTGTTTCTGAAAGAGCAGTCTTTTCTTATATTTGGCAATCAGTCCATTAGGTTCTCAGCAACAGCGCTCTCTACCTCTTGGCGTGAGGCCTTCCTTTCTCCCCTGGAGGGCTGGGTGCTGTGGTCAGTACCAAGAAAGGGCCAAGACATGGCCCAGTCCTTCATGAAGATAACGGAAAATAGAATGGCCAGCATATTTCAATACAGAAGGGAAAAAAGGGTTTTCTAAAAAAGTCTATGTTACTGGCCAGAAAGAGGAGACAAGAAAACAGCAAAGAAGCTCATCCTTGCCAAGATCGGGTTAAGCTTAAAGGTCACAGACCAACCTAGACTGGGGAGGTGAGAGTTGGTGCCAGGGCCAGGCCCCACTTTAACTCTTCTAACAGGAGGCCTCTCCATTGCCCCTGACGGACAGGCTTTACCCTGCCCTTCTGTGTACCTGGTGTTTAGCCAGGGGACTGGCCTAGGATTATTCCTGAATACAAGTCCTGAATAAGTCAAGACAGGATGACAGCGGCACACTGAAGGGACAGTGTAGAAATGTGGGGGTGAGGGCAGCAGGAACAATCCAAAGCTGTAATAATGGGAACTTTACTGAGTCCTGACTCTGCAGCATATGGTCTGTGTCCTACTTTCCCTCACACAGGTCCCTGAACCACTCCTGCAGCAATGCAGCCTGTGCAGGAGGAAGCCACAGCCCTAACAGCTGGTGAGATCTGGGTGCAGAAGGCTGCATTTGTTCTGCGAGAAGCTCTCTTCCCACATCTTGCCAGGCAGAGGGGCTCAGGGTGGTACTGCAGCCCCTGGTCAAACCTTGTAGGATTAGCTGGCAAGTATGCTAAAAATCAATACAGAAATAAATAAATAAGTAGATATTAGATATTTTTTTTAAGTTTCCAGGAGTCATCGTTGACTTTTCTTCCTTGTCACTTTCCTGCTATACCTGAGAGCTGACCCCTGGGAGGATTAAGAACTTAAATACAGAATCAAGTAACCAATGTGTAAATTTACAGGCACATAAACAAGTGGGTAGGTGTGTACTTGGTTTTCCTCTAGGAGTTTTTGTGATAAAATTGTATTTATTTATTTATTGCTCCTTGCACAGCTGGGCTACCCCATAGGCAGTGTGCCCAGGGGAGCCTATATTTTAAACTCTTTATTATAAAAAATGTTTCAATGTGCATAAAGGGGAGAGAATAGGCTGAGTGTGGTGGCTCACACCTGTAATCCCAGCACTTCTGGAGGCCAAGGTGGGTGGATCACCTGAGATAAGGAGTTCGAGACCAGCCTGGCCAACATGATGAAACCTGTCTTTACTAAAAATACAAAACTTAGTGAGGCATGGTGGTAGTGGCCACTAGTCCCAGCTACTTGGGAGCGTGAGGCAGGAGAATCGCTTGAACCCAGGTGGTGGAGGTTGCAGTGAGCCAAGATTGCACCACTGCACTCCAGTCTGGGCAAGAGAGTGAAATTGTCTCAAAAAAAAAAAAAAATAAAAAAATAAAAAAATAAAGGAGGGGGGGTTTGGGGAGAATATAGTATAAAAGAATCCCATACACCCATCATCTAGATCTAACCATTAACACCTTGGCCTATTTGGTTCATCTTCTTGTTTTTCTTCGTATTTAAAAACAAACTCCAGACATTATATTTTACCCTTAAATACTTCAATACACATCATTTAAAAGATAAGGACATTTTCTTGTATAACCACAACACCATTATCACACATATCACAATTAACAATAATTCTTGGCTGGGCGCAGTGGCTCATGCCTATAATCCCAGCACTTTGGGAGGCGGAGGCGGGTGGATCACTAGGTCAAGAGATCGAGACCATCCTGGTCAACATGGTGAAACCCTGTCTCTGCTAAAAATACAAAACTTAGCTGGGCATGGTGGCGCAGCCTGTAGTCCCAGCTACTCCAGACTGAGGAAGGAGAATTGCTTGAACCCAGGAGGCGGAGGTTGCAGTGAGCCTGGGTAACAAGAGCGAAACTCCATCTCAAAAAAACAATAATTCTTTGCTATTTTCTACTACACAGTCCCAATTCAAATCTTCCTGATTATCCCCAAATCTCTTCTTCCAGTTGGTTTGTTTGGATGAGAATCCAAACAGGGCCCACTCATTGCATTTGGTTGCCACATGGCTTGGGTTTGTCTAAGCTAGAGGACCACTCTGAAGGACCATTAAGGAAGGGGTTGCTCTCACTCACCTATCGCTCTGATCTGGTCCTCAATGAATTTCTCCAGGTGCACCCTGAGGCCCCTCACTAGCAGTTCAGGCAGCCAGAACAGAGTGACTAAGGTCTGGAGGAATGAGCCTTGCCATGGAAAAAACAGAAACTCATAGATTTTCAAAATTCCAGGCAAGATACCATGACTCATGGGAAAATGTCGGATGCAGTTTCTGTCCTCCGGCGCCCGGACGAGAATAAAGCTTCCATCAGGCTGGAGGGAGAGAGAGGAGAGGAGGCCCCCCAGGACAGAAGGAGCGTGAGGGAACGCATTCTGCACACGCTGGGCCCAGGCAAACCGGCTCCACTGAAGAAGCTCAGTGACTTTTGCTGAGGAGCTGGGCGTCGCCCTCACCAGGGTCCTCTGGTGAATCTCTCCCCTCGACGGTCTCCTTTTGTTTGTCCAGTAAGAAGGATGTCTATCTCTTCCCCGAGAACGTTGCGGTCAGAGGCCCACTTTACCCCCTGGGAAGGCCCCTTCTTCATGGAAGCTAGGCCCTGACAGCCCGCAGCCTTGGTGGTGCATGAAGGAAGCCTCTGCCACCCACCCCGGCCTGGCCAGCAGCGTCTCGATGCCTCAGGGCGGGGGCTCACCGGCGCTCCGCGCTCACTCCGAGAGTTCAGCCACGTGCTCGGCTGGTTTCCCCACATTAAAAACGGTGATCAAAGAACAGCACTTCTTCCGAGACAGGAGGGAGTGCCTGGGGCCCGAGCTGCGTCCCCTGCACCGTATTCCGGCTCACACTGTGCCCTGGGCCTATCGGCCCAGAGCAAGCCGTGTTGGTTGGTGAACCCGGGAAGAGCGGTCTCCCGGGCCCCGGCCGCGGCGGGGACAGGCTGAGCCAGCGCTCCGAGGCCGCTGCGCTCTGGGCCTCGCCTTCCGGAGCCTGGACGGCGTTCCGGTTGCATCCGCGTGGAAACTTGTCTCAGAGGAGCACATCTGGGGAGACATTCATCTTCCCTGAGGGCCCAGTCAGTGCTCTTCTGGCTCTCGCCCTCTCTTACTGGCTTTGGTGGCCGCGGTGCCAAAAGAGGCCTCCCGTGGGCCAAGAGGCGCTGGTGCCCCGCGCTGGTGGGGCCTCCGCAGGCGCACGCGCGCCTGGCAGCTGGCAATCTGACATGCATCTGATCGATTTTATCTGCAGAACATTCAGAAAATTTATCCTCTCCCCCAGCCCCCCGAAGAACACGTTGACCCTCTGAAGCGGGGAATGCAGTGTGGCTCGCCTGCGGGAGGACGCCCTTGGTTTTGATGAGGCTGGTGCGGGACCCGCTATCAGCCTCAGACCGTGAGCCAAGAGGGTGGGGACAAGGTTCCTCCGGGGAGCTCCGCATCGTCCCCGGCCTTCCATTCGCGGTGTTTACCAATTTTGTGAAAGCAAATCCAGCTGTTGGGAGGAATTGCTTCCAGATGACATGATGGGAAAGGAAAACACACTTTATAAAAAAGCTGCTGAATAGAAACCAGAACATGTCCGCTCCGTGGGCCAGGATTGCATAGGGGCTGTTTCCTGAGGTTGTGCAATAGGCCAGCTCCTGGGGTAAGGAACAAGAACAGTGCAAATGCTCCCCCCGCCAGGGTCAGGAGACCAGAGCTGGGGCTGGACTTGGCAGAACTTGGGGAAAATGAGTTGACCTCGCTGGGCCACCGTATTTTTCTCATTCTCAAGAACGGCTTCCCACCTTCACTGGTGATCCCTGCGAAAGCCTCAGAGAAGATCTTCCGTGTGTGGAACTGCGTGGGTGAGAGAAACCACGAGAAAGCAAGGACATCTTGCTTTTGAAATGGGATGCGTTCCTCAGCCCCCCAGCGCAGAATTTGCTGTGTTGGCTTTCTCAACGATTTTAGAAGCTCTCTAACGAGCTGGAATTAAAGTGTCCCTTTACTAATTTGGTTTTACAGGTCACTGGATAAACCTACTTAGGCGGTTTGGAAGAGGATTAGGACATCTGTGGCTCTTCCAAGTTGACTTTCCAGGCAGGGTCAGTCAGCAGCTGGAGACTTCCCTGGCTCGGGGCCAGAGCTCTTAAAAGCTGCAAGTTTTTAAGGGCCTGGTGAGCACAGTTATCCAAGAAACAGAAAGTTTGCAGGGAAATTAAAATGCAAATATCCCAAAGCAAGGCACACATTCCCAAGCTTGCCTGCCCAGAGAGAGGCCAGAAAACTCAGCAGCCCTGTTCCCTGGGGCCAGGGAAACAGCCCAAGTGATTTAGTTACTTGCCCAGCCTCAGCCTGGAGCAACTCTCAACCCCTATTGGGGCGGAATAGATTTGAATAGCCAGGGAATTGCCTAAAAGCAGGCGATCCCTTAGAGAGGAGACTGTAGCTGTTAGCCACGGGTAGCTCTACAGCTCATCATTTAAAACGCAGTGCTTCAGTCTCACTAGCCACATTTCACACTAGTGACTGCCATGTGAGACTCTGCAGATCAAATGAACATTCACTCATTTATCTCGCAAGTATTTATGGAGTGCCACGGCAGTGACAATGAGCAAAGCATAGAACATCTCTGCCCTCGTGGAGTTTCTGTTCCAAAGGGGAAGATGAACACTAACGAAACACCGTGAGTGAGTCACTTTTTTTCTGTCTGTTGCAGTCCCGGGGGGGAAACTGGTGACGTACTCAATTGAGTAACTGAGAAATGTTTAATAATGGGAGGATTTACTAAGATGTGGGCAGAGATCAGGGAAACAACAAGGCATAATGCAGTCTCCGCCACGGGAGCCATCACCGTGGTCAGGCCTGCAGGGGCAAGCGCAGGTCCAGTTCCCAGCCAGGGCACCAGTGACAAGAGCCAGGGAGGGGCTGCCTGGCAGGAGCAAGGCCTCTGAAAGACAGGCGGCCCTGGAGCCAATCTGGTAGGGGAGGACCTAAGTGCTCCACTCCCTCTCCTGGGCCTCCCACTGGCCCAGCCCCAGAAAAGCCAGAGGAGAGGAGTCAAGGGGAGTACTTGGCATAATCATGCAGTCTAGAAAATCCAGCAGGGTAGGAGTGGAGTCTGGGGCAGAGGGGTCCTGCTGGGAGGCAACTAGGAAAAGAAATGGCTTGAAGCACAGGGCTCTGTCACCACCATCCCCCACCCCTCCTATGACATTCTGTCCCCTTCCCCATGCCCTTCTGTCATCTCTGTGGCTCTGCTTTCTGCCACATGTCACATTCTCTCTCTCTCTTTCTCTGGGCACTCTCACAAGTGCCTTGGAGCCAAACCAGGGCTGCTCTGCTGAAACTGAGTCTCTGTGCTCTGTTTACCTTAGGAGCATAGACGGGAATGTTTTTTGTTTTTTATGTTAAATAGACTTCATGTTTAAGAATAGTTTTAATTTTACAGAAAAATGGAGAACATTGCACAAAGAGTTCCTATATTCCCCACTCCAGCTTCCCCATTATTATTATCATTATTTTATTATTGTTTTTAGAGACAGACTCTTACTCTGTTGCCCAGGCTAGAGTGCAATGGTGTGATCTCTGCTCACTGCAACTTCTGCCTCCCAGCTTCAAGCAATTCTTCTGCCTCAGCCTCCCGAATAATTAGGAATACAGGCACCCGTCACCACCCCTGGCTAAGTTTTTGTTTTTCTAGTAGAGATGAGTTTTTGCCATGTTGGCCAGGCTGGTTTTGAACTCCTGACCTCAAGTGATCCACCGCCTCAGCCTCCCAAAGTGCTGGGATTACAGGGATAAGCCACTGCACCCAGCCCAGCTTCCCCTATTGCTAATATCTCACATGAGCATGGTATGTGTGTTGCAATTAATGAACTAATAATGACTTTTAATACCTAAAATCCATATTTTATTCTGATTTTCTTAGTTTTTACCCTCAATTGGACCTGTCTCCTTGCCTACTCTGCTACTTCCTGACTCTGCTGCCTGTTTTTTCTAATTCTCTTCTAGGCCTTCAGAGACTAATAGAGAAAAATCATAGAATTGTGGTGGGTGAGTCCAGTCTAGTGAGAGAACACATGGAAGCATTGCATAGCTACAAAGCAATCAACAAAGGCAAGGTAGTTTCAACAGCCTCCTACCTAAAGCACAGGTGCTTAAGTGCCAGCTCCAAGTAACTGGGACTATAAGTGCATGCCACCATGCCTGGCTAGTTTTTAATTTTTTTTTCAGAGATGGGTCTCACTTTGTTGCCCAGGCTGGTCTTGAATTCCTGGGCTCAAGTGATTCTTCCGCTGTAGCCTCCCACAATGTTGTGATTACAGGTGTAAGCTACTGAGCCTCACCTCCCATCTCTCAACTTCTGAACATTCCCCTCCTCAAAGCCATCCCAGGCCATTCCCTTATACCCTTCACCCAGCTTCACCTAAAGGTAGTATCTTACATAACTATGGTACAGTTATCAAAACTGAGAGATTAACATTAATATAGAACTATTAGCTAAAACTACAGACTTCATTCAGATTTCACCAATTCCCCACTCATATCCTTTTTTCTGTTCTAGAATCCAGTCCAGGGTCCCACATTGTACTGAGTTGTCACATCTCCCTAAGTCTTCACCAGTATGTGACAGTTTTAAAGGCTTTCTTTGTTTTTCATGACCTCGACACTTTTAAAAGTTATCGGTCAGGTTAGCTGTAGAATGTCTTTCAGTTTGAGACTGACTGATGTTTTCTTTTTTCTATTTTTTTGAGATAGAGTCTTGCAATGTAGCCCAGGCTGGAGTGCAATGGCACAGTCTCGGCTCACTATAACCTCCACCTCCCTGGGTTCAAGTGATTCTCTTGCCTCAGCCTCCTAAGAAGCTGGGAATACGGTGCCCGCTACCATGCCCAGCTAAGTTTTGTATTTTTAGTAGAGACGGAGTTTCACTCTGTTAGCCAGACTGGTCTCAAACTCCTGACCTTGTGATCCTCCCTCCTCGGCCTCCAAAGTGCTGGGATTACAGGTGTGAGCCACCACTCCCTGCCAACTGATGTTTTCTTATGAATTTTGGGGAAGAATATCACAAGGGGAAATGATTTTCTCATGGCATCATATATTGGGGCTACATGGCATCAGCCTGAAAGATTACAGGCGACATTAAGCTTGATCACTTGGTTAAGGAGTTGTCTGCCAGGTTTTGCCACTATGAAGTTACTAATTTTCTTTTTCAATACTCCATTTGTAAGAAGTATGTCACTAAGTCCAGCCCATACTCAAGGGGAAAGGAATTAAGCTCCTTTTCTGGCAGAAGTAGTATCAAATAATTTGTGGACATATGTTAAAAACAGCACAGTGACTAATTAATATTTTTGGGTAGATACTTCAAGGCTATACAAAGATTCTATTTCTGCTTAACGTTTCACCCACTCATTTAGCATTCGTCAGTGCATCTTAGCTGCAGCAGTTATTACTGTGGGGTTCAAACGGTGACCTTCTACTCCCTCGTGCCTTCTACCTTCATCATTTGGAATCCTGTAAGGATAGTTTCTCTCTTCTATTTGTTTATTTATTCATTCAGTCATTTCTTTATATCAGTATGTACTGTGCAGATTTATTTTATTCTTTGGATTAGAATTCAGTGCTGTTTTTTATTGGTCAATTTGTTTCTGCTTATGACTTTGTGAGCTTTTTGGGCTTGCCCCTGTGTCCTTTTTGACATGATGTCCTCCTTTTTTTGCATTTTGCTCTGTTTGGTGTTTTTTTTTTTTTTTTGAGACAAAATCTCACTCTTTTTCCCCAGGCTGGAGTGCAAAGGCACGCTCTCGGCTCACTGCAACCTCTGCCTCCTGGGTTCAAGCAATTCTCCTGTCTCTGCCTCCCAAGTAGCTGGGACTACAGGCACCCACCACCATGTCCTGCTAATTTTTTTTTTTTTTTTTTTAGTAAATACCGGGTTTCACTATGTTAGCCAGGCTGGTGTCAACCTCCTGACCTCAGGGGATCTGCCTGCCTTGGCCTCCCAAAGTGCTAGGATTACAGGTGTGAACCACTGCGCCCCGGCCTGGTGTTTGTTTTGAGTCATCCTTTACTCTCTGTCAAATGCTTCAGGCTCGCTGTGTATTTGCTGCCTCAGCCCTAGAATCCACCCTTTCTCAGAGGACCTCCCAGGGCATTGTGGACTTCCCTGCTGATAGGCTAGTGATTTTAGCTAGGGCCTGCTGCTCTGCCCGATCAGAATCCTTTCCTTACCAGCACAGCTCTCACAGTGGTAGAGTCTGACAGGCCCATTGTCCCTGCCCTGGCACATAGGAGGTATGTGACTTTGGACAAGTTATTCTATGTCAGCTTAAGTGTTCCTGTCTGTAAAATGGGGAATGACAATCCTTCTTCCTTATGGGGTTCTTGTGAGGATTCAGTGCACGTGAAGCAGGTCACATGCCCGTCATAAGTATCTAATAAGTGTCGGTGATAATGAATATACAGCTGCTTCTGGTTTGGGTGATTGGACTGGGTGATTTAAGGACCTGGACTCTGGAGGCAGACTGCTTGGTTCTGCAATCTTAGTAAAACTCTCTGTGCCTGTTTCTCATCTGTAAAATGGAGATAA